CAGATGGTGAGGAGCCAGCAGGCAGGTGGTCAGGCAGGAGCGAGGCCTCAGGGCTCCAGGTGCCCCACAGAGTGAAGGCTGCTCATCCACACCCACCTGGCCTCGGTGACGTCAGCAGCGTTTCCCCTGCACACCCTCTCCAGCTGCATGTAGAACGAGCAGTTGACCCGGCTCCACTAGGGGTCACAGACGGCCAGGAAGTTGGGGTGCAGGCGGCCGATAGTGTACTTGGCCAGGTCCGTCAGAGACTGGCTCACGGTCGCCCCGAACAGGGAGGTCCCCAGCACCTTGTACACGGCAGCCACGTAGTTGTTGAAGTCAGAGCGGGAATAGAGCCGGTCTGTGTGCACCAGGTAGGCTTCTCCCACCGAGACCTGAGTGTGGGGCAGCCGCAGAGACCAGCGGGGGTCCCAGTCAGGCCGTGGGCCCTCACTGGGCCTCAGTCCTCCCCACAGGCCTCCCCAAGGCTGCTGCAGAGCTGGGGACCCTAAAAGGGCCCTAGCCAGGCTCGGTGGCTCACATCTGCCATCCCAGCAGTGTGGGAGGCTGAGGCGGGCAGATCACCTGAGGTCGGGCATTCAAGACCAGCCAGACCAACATGGTCAAACCCGTCTCTACTAAAAATACAAAACTAGCCAGGTGTCATGGCGCATGCCTGGAGTCCCAGCCACTGGGGAGACTGAGGCAAGAGAATCACTTGAACCCAGGAGGTGGAGGTTACGGTGAGCGGAGACCCTGCCATTGCACTCCAGCCTAGGCAACAAGAGTGAAACTCCATCTCAAAAAACAAAAGGGGGTTCCTATTACCCACAAGTACCACTCGGGGCAAGGCTGTGTYCCCCAGCCCCCCACAGACCTCCAGGCCACCCCCCGTGAGGAACCCAGGGTAAGGCTGTACCCAATCCCGCCCCCCTCCCTGTCCCTCTGAACCCCTCCTGCCTTACAAGGATGACAGTGGCTGTGTTGGTGACCCCGGCCATGAGCCCAAGGGTGATGGTGTCTGGACAGTAGGGGTACAGGATGGAGTCATCCCCACAGTAAAATCCTCGCTTATACGTGGCATTCACGAGTGACAGGACAGCGAAGGGCAGGGAGGCTGGAGGGGGAGAAGGGCCTTGGAGCTGCGATGTTCTCCAACCAGCTGGGCCATGAGGCCCCCACACCGTCCTTGCCTCCAGGCCTCCCACTGACAGCAAGGAAGAGCTCTTCTCACAGCACGTGGGAGGCCCAAGTGACGCCCCTTTCCCACTGCCCTCAGATGAGCATGAACTCTCCAGGCCCTCTGCCCCTCACACCCTCCCCTCTGCTCCTTGAACAAACCTGGCAAACACTCACCTCAGGGCCTTTGGACAGGCACTTCTCTCTGCCCAAAATATCTTATTTTTATTTTTAAAAGTAGAGACAGGGGTCAC